CGAGGCCAGGCGCCTTGCTTACGAGGACACTGCCCGTTCCTTGGTCAAAGAAAACAATTAAATGGAACAGACTTGCCTCACGTGACCACGGCTTCCATGGCGGTCACGTAACATTCCGTGACACGGGTGATAATGTTATGTTTTATATGTATTCCTAACAAGCCTTTTACTTTTTAAATTGTGTATATTTTTGTTAAATTAAATATATAAGTGAGTTACTACCCGCTAGCTACCGAAGCTGCAACTACTAAGCAACTAACCAACCATAGATAACTTCTTTGGATCTAAAAAAACATTAGAAATTAGTTGACTTACTTTTAAACTTGAAATTTGCCCCCCGAAGTAGTTGCCAGCTTCTGATCTACCATCCTTTTAAAAATATTGCGGTGTATTCTGGGAAATTTTTGACCAAGGCTAGGCTTCAAGACACCTCCTGTGTATCCTCGCTTAGTCAGTTAAACGGGTAACAAATGGAGAACACATGCCTCGGTAGAACATGAACATTGGAACACGTCTTGGCGGTTCCTGAGGATGTATCTCCTAGGCAACCGGGGTGGGGCCAAGACATCAAGGCGAGGTTCCTTGGCATTGAGAAACACCCTGGGTTTTTCTCAATGTCAAGGCGCCTTGCCTTGCGAAGTGATGTCTTGCAAGGCCAGGCGACTTGTTTACAAGGACACTGTCCTTCCTTGGTCAAAGAAAACGATTAAATGGAACAGCAGTACTAAAGCCCGCCAGAGAGGCACCAGCGTTCATAAAGCCTGCCTGAGTTTCCCAAGAAGAAGAAGAAGAAGCACATTAGCACAAATTAGCATGCCTTGGTATAGAAGTTTTTGGACTAAGCGTACCACAAAAGAATGACAACACCAGCTATGATGATTCAGGTTTGTGCATTTTATTTTAAAAGAAAGTTGAAATGTATCATTTTACAAGAAAACACAAATTTTTTAAACTAGCTAAAAAATGTTTCACTCAAGTCTTGGATCTTTTTCAACTAACCGGATTAAACCAGTCTTCCCCTGCTTTTTACAGAATCACACAATATGCAGAACAAACTCTGTTCAATATTTATCAGCAAAGCTAAAATATCCAGAATTAAAAAAAAATCAGGCTTAGCTCTTTGCTAATGCTAGAGAGAGCTAAACTGTGAGCTAACAGCAGGTCAAGGCCATTTAAAGGGGTGATTCACTCGTTTAATCAATACATTTGCAGTGGTCTCTAGGAATGGTGGTCTGTGTGTGTCAGTGTTTCCTAACCCTGGTCCTCTGGGCACACTGACCTGTCTGTGCTTCAGCACACCTGATTTACACTGGCTCCTCAGGAGGACATCAAGTGCTGCAGATGCTTGTCAATCACTCATTCATTCATCCTATTTTCTGTGAAGGGATGATTTTAAAATAATGTATTTTCCTGGTAAATAACTTGCAAAACGTCTGAATTGTCAATAGAAAAATCTTGATAAAATAGTGATCGTGATTTTTCGATATCGCCCATCCCTAGACTCAACCAATGACTCAGTTTGCTTTGCAAAGTTGGTGTTTTATCCCCACAAATAACACAAGCCAGGGGGAGTTCTGCTGTGTGGTGGAGTTACTAATTCTAATGGTTAACTTCTACTCTACCTTCTCTGCTAGCCAAGATGGGTGAGTCCATGAATGTTAAGTGACCGTGTGACGTAGATCTTTCAGGATTTTCTAATTCTAGAGTGTCACTGTCTATCTTCTGTCAGAAAGCAGGAGATAGGTGTAGGAGACTATTGTATTGTCCAGCCTGCGTGAAACACTCATCATGATGATTATAATCAGAAATAACAGATAAAAAATGTTTCAGTGCTCCACACCTTTAATATTTTAATGTGAATACAATAGCAGTGTAAAGTTTTATTAAATAACACTTGCACAAACTGCTATGAATTTTTTAGATTTGAGCTGATTTGAGAAGACAGCAGTGTCCCTTGTTCTTGGTTGGATCTAACCGGCCGATAGCTCATCGGTCCTGTGAGATGTTGACTCTGTTTTTCTGGACTGAAGCCATTCAAGAGTAAGATTGTAATTTTTCTAAAACTTTTTCTCCAGTACCACCAAAGTGTCCCTGCAGCAAGATTTAAACTCTAGGATGACCCTCTCTCTGCAAGAGCTCCGTGGTGAAACAGATGCTGTTTTTACTTTGGCCTCCTCTCAGAACCCAAGCCCTTCAGAAGCATGTTGTGGAGGTAAGCACAACAAAGATCAAAGTTCAGCTGATGCTGGAAAACCAAGCTATACGAAGCTCAGACTGTGTGTCAGAAATAATTGCCCAGTTCCGCGTGGACTTTAGAGGAAGCTTTCTCAAAAGTCCTGCTCTGCCAGGGGTTTGTTTTAAACCTGATCTGTCTTTTTCCCTCTGATCTCTCTATAGCCATGGCACCATCTTCCCCAAATACAGGAATATATCTAAACAAAGATGAAGCAAGCTTGCATTAATGTCACTCCAACATGAACACATAAGCTCACATAATCTCTTCCTTTTTTCTTTTCAATTGCAACAATCTCTTGAATTGATGGTTGTAACTCTCGCTGGGAATTGAAGGATTTTATCTTATTTGTTGAGGTGTGTTTGGCTCACTGCAGAAATAAAAAACACACGGAGCATCAACAGTCAAATACAGCCACTCACCAACACTTGTGTGTGTGTGTGTGTGTGTGTGTGTGTGAACAGGACCAGAAGGCTGAGCAATAACCTGTAAAATAATTAAAGTCATCATGCTAAATCAGCCTTTCTCTGATCTAGCATGTTTTCGTCTAAGTGAAGGTGATGTTATTGCTCATAGAACAAAAATTCATGTTGGAGTTCAGATAATTTTATCAAGTAAGATGTGTGGTTAGCTGGTTTATTTAAAACATGTAATGCTTTTGGATCCTGCCTCTTGAAAGAATCGGAATCAAAATGAGGAATTGGAATCGGAATCGTTCAAATTCAAATGCTGCCCAACCCTATGCACAACAAAACTTAACACCCTTTGTGCACCAAACGTGCTTTCTTGGCAGAGCAGCCGAACAGAAAGTGAAGCCAGCTTAGCTGCCCAGTGTCACGGGCAGAGTGTCCTTAAATCTCATTTAAGGAGTTAGGTTAGGTGATATAGTCTCAGAACCCAGCTAAGTCTCAACCCTGCCACTAACGTGAGATTGAGTGTGTGTGTGCAGGTGTGTTGCAGTGAGCAGGCAGAGAGGATGGCGTGTTCTGGACGTTAACGTTGGTGGTGGGGTTTCCATAGATTTTTGGTAGTGCTGAGCTGCTGATTATTTTGAAGTTAAGAATAAACCAAGAAAGCTAAAAACTACACGCTAAACATGCTAGCATACAGGGACGAGGTGTGGGGCTGGGAGGAAGTTAGGTTTGGTTCGAAGTTGGTTCTAAAAATTTGAACATTAACACTAACCCAATAGAGCTGCGTGTCTGCTTGTGTGTGTGTTGCAAGCCGGTGTTGTACCATTTTCTGCAGCCATCAGATTCTGTGACTCCAGGTGGGAGCATGAAGAAAAGGGTCAGACCTTTGATGTTTATTATTTTTTTATTAGCTTGCTAGAATGGCTTTTTCCAAGGACAAATAACGCACCTTTAAGTATGCATGAATAATTTATGTATCCTGATATTTTTCATTTTTGAGTTGAACCATTCAGAGTCCAAATGGCGCTGATAGTAGCAGTTAGTTCCTCTGATGAGAGTGAAGTGACTTTTCCTCATATGTGCTTCCTGCCTCCATGTTTCCTTGAACAACACTCAGGTTTGTCATTACAATCCTCCATGGAGGCATGAAAGGCGACATTCCCTGCAAGGAAAAAAGAAAAAGTTATATATTTGATACCAATTCAGTCCAGAGAAGATTAGTGTTAACGGAATAACAAAGCTAGTAGGAAGGCGATAATGAGAACTGGGACAAAAGGGAGAAACCGAGAAATGGTTCATGCATTTTTATCCCAATCTGGTCTTTGGGTTTTCTAAATGTGGCAGCCTCAGGGACAGGAAAAGGAGTGCTACAGGAAAACCAAGAAAAGGCTGTTCTGTTCTACTGCTACATCCTCTAGGTGGAAACCTTCATAAAGAACTGATCAGTGATGATTTGCTTGCTTTCACTGCAGGGTTTGGGGCGGGGCAGGTCTTCGTGGGCTGGCGCGGACCGGTATGGGTCTGCAATTTCAGGAGAGTGTTTCAATCACAGTTTGAGTTTGGACTCTCACTTGGCAGGTGACATCATGTGTCAGGCACAATTTCATGAGTAATTAGTGCAACTGTTCAGTATATTTGTGTTGCAGTGAATGGTCTGCAGAGCAGCAGGCTCCACACGTGACTCACGGTTGCTGAGTCTAGACCTGTTATCGTTTTTCCGATCTGTGGTCATAAATAGCGTCTAGCGCTTCTTACCACCTCCATGTATTTCTCCCATTTCCACTCTTAACTTTCCTACATTGGGTATTTAGTTTTGTCAGCTTGGCCCGACACTGTTCCAACTTCCACTCAAATCCTTCAGCCGCCATCCTCTGAGAAACTTCAGATCCGCGTAGCTCGTCCTGAATGTGGCTATCGCCGCCGATGGTGAGAGATGTTTGGAGCTCTGAAGCTGACCAAACCATGCTGCTGCTTGCTGGCATTTTCTCACATCTGTGTACAGCTAATGAAAATACAAACGAGGGAACTCCGGGGTTTGTTTTGCTTGTTGGAAGTAGTGACATATTTCTGTCCAATCAGTGGACTGTGTCGTCGCTCCGCCCTAACCGTACTGCTCCACAAAGACATGGACCTTCTGCAGAAGCGGGCTACCAAACTGCCATCAATGGCATGGTCCAGGTTGGTTTTGCGGACCATTGTTGGACCCCGCTCCATCCTGTCCTGAACCCCACGGTGTAATCAAGCTATTAGATGAAGGCTGCTTGTAGGTACAAAAGAACAGAAGGTTCTCCGCATGGTTACAAAAAAAAACCCCAAAACAAAGTGGTATGAAGGAGACCATGTTGTCAATAATATACTTTTTATTTATACTTTTATTAAAACACCATCCTCCTCCAACATGTAAAGAGTGCACATACTTTAATAATAATAATAACAATAATAATATTGAACAGAAATTTGTAACTTTTTTATTTCTACGTGATCATTTATTTTTTCTTGCCAATATCTCAGAGGCACCCTCTGAGCTCTGCCGTCTTGCACCTCAAGGCATAAAATACTTTTGGCGGAATGTACAGTACAGAAAACAAATCGTCCTTAAGCCGTCATTTTCTATTTTTCATAATATCCACAATTTTTTTATTCCATCAAAAATGATAACATCCATCGCCCTTTTGATTCTGTTCCATAACAACTGTAAACAACCCGAACCTCCAAATGCATTCAAGCACACACACTCAGCAGATTTGCGTCCCCACACGCACGTACGCGCACACACACATTTACACACACGCCCTGAAACACTTGCAAGGATAAATGCAGTGTATGGTATAGTGCTGTGCACTGCTGCTTTCCTCCAGTGATTGTAATGCTTCCCTCTGACCAGGATGGCAGCTTCCACGGAGCTCCTCTCTCAGCAGAACAAAACATTAAAGCCTCGCTCGTGCACGACCCAGAGAGCGCATCATGACCGACTTGTGTCGCTCTCTACTCCTCCTCTCCATCGGTGCTCCACTCTGAGCGGGACGTTCTTTCCTGCTGGAACTCAATGGAATTGCTACAGAAAACCCCAAAAAACATGATGTTTTAAAATAAAATAAAGTAAAACACAAGCTACTCACTGACGGGAAACCAGCTGTCCGTTTTACACAACAGAATGTCACAAGGCAGCACTTTTTGGAGATGGTTTCTCAATAAAGTTGTAACATTTCAAAACGTGAAACAATTAAAAACACCATAGCACAATTAAAAAACATGTTTGCGCTGGAAGTCTGCACTCAGTCACATGTAGGTTTACAGGATTTTCTGACAGGCAGGTGATGCTAAAAATCTCTTGTGGTTCCACAGCGGTTTATGTGAGCTTGACTAGGAGCTAAGGAACATCCTGTCATGCAGCTGACGTCTTAGTTCCAGTCTCCTCTGCTGGAGCTCCCAGTCAGTCTCTAATGGTGCTAGAGTCTGGCACTGGCAGTCATGTGTCTATAACGTCCTGCGCTGGTGAAGGTTCATGTGGCAAACTGGTGGTGTTGGGTAGCGTCTGTGTGTGGGTCACAGAGTTCTGCTGCAGCTCAAGCGCCATGGCATTCTGCGGGTGGGGGAACTCCTTCACCTGCCTGCGGTACTCTAAAAAGGTGGACGCCTTCGTAGCGATGGCCACCACGTTCTTGCCAACAAAGATGGTGGAAACGCGACTGTCCTGAAACAGGACCATGTTCACGCCACGTATGAGGATGGTGACCACGTTTATGGTGACCAGGCTGAGAACCGGGTACAGCATCATCTTCTGAGGCGACATGTGCTCTCCCTGCATGCTGATCTCGCTGAGCGACACGCAGGGCAGGATGAGCAGAAGGATGTAGCAGTAGAAGAACATCAGGCCTTCGGCCCAGATGGGGAGTCCTGTCCGCTGGGGCTCCCACAGGTTAGCTTGGATATCCAGAAGGTCTAGCAGGTCCAGAGCCACCCAGAACAAACGACTCCTCATGTCCTCTTTCTTCCGAAAAGTTCTCACATATTCCATACTGTCCAGAGCCACCAGGACCAGATACAAACCCGGCACACACACAGACAAGAGTAACGTCAAAGCCTTCCGTGCCACCGTCTCCAAACTCTTCCTGTCAGCTTTGCAATTCTGGAAAACAAAGTAAAGTTTGATCTCCAGAACAAAGATGTACAGAAACCACAGGATCATGGCGTAGCCTCGGCGAGCGGTGCGCACCTCGGCGCCGACCCACACCGCCACATAGCGCAACACGATGAGGAAGCAAACGTCGCCCACCAGGACTATGATGCACACACCGATCTTCCTGGGACCCTGGTTCTGCTCCACCAGGTAGGCGTCCATGAAGGCCATGCTGGTCATGATGACGATGGTGGTCAGGCACACGTGGCGTTTGTCTGGGGGTGGCAACACCATGGCGAGGGCACCGGTTGGCTCTCACTCTCAGGGTACAACTTCAAAAAGCCAAAACAAAATAAATCAGAATCGCACTGATCCTTAAACGTAGCTGGGAACAAAAGGAGGTTTAAGGCGTTCTGACAAAATTAATGTGCAACTTTGATATTAAAAATACACTTTCAGTCACCGTCTCAGTAGTCCACAGAGGGCGGTTACTGCAGAGGATGTGGGATGGAGAAGAGCTGGCTGCTGACTTCTCTCAGGCTACGTGAAAAAAGGGGCATGATCTCGTCATTCAGCGCACTTCCATTGATCCAGGCTCTCCTGTTAGTGGCAGCGACTCCGAGGGCTCTACACCCAACACACCATGACTGATTGTAATCCACAAACACTCCAAAGGAGGGATGCTCTGAGAGGAGGCTTGCTCTAATTCAGTAGTGGTAGGATGGCGGGATACAGTGCCGCAGTGTAGGAATGTTTGTGGGGATGTTTATTTTTGGATGAGACAAGGTAGAAGTGGATACAGGCATATGTGTGCGCTGCAGCTCTGCGTGTGCAAGAAATCCCTCTTCGGATACTCCTGCAGTGTGTGTGGCTCCTCGTGGAACTGCAGTGTGTGCGGAGGGAAGGCAGAGAAGAGAAGGGAGAGGAGTCTGCAGCGGCCAGAGACCCCCAGCCGCCATAAATCAAGGAGACAGCAGGTCAGCGGCCCGTGAGGCCTCGCGTCTCACGCCGGCTTCCCCGGGGGGAGGCTCTAGCTCCGGGCTGAAGATCCATCCTTCCCCTCTTCCGCTTGCCACGTGCCTGCCTCTGCACAACCTAAAGGGTGGAGAAATAAATGGGGAAGAGAAGGGAGGAGGAAAAAAGGGAGAAAGAAACCTGTCAGCACTACTGGGCGATAAAACACTGTTTCCCTGCCAACGGCCCATATATGAGAAGCAAAGTAACGTGTCAGCTCAGCTCAAACGTGGCCCGTTTCACTATTGATGGGACAGAACATACTGCAGACGTAACACTGCTTCAGGGTGTCATTACCTCTCCATTGTCTGATATGTCATGTGACATCAGGACGCTCCCACGGTTAATGTATCCGGTGTAATGCACTGCAGTTTAATTCTAGCGCTCAAATTAATAGAGGACTTATTACAAGAGTCTGTAGAAGCCAATTTTGAAGTCTCATAGAGTAGCTAAATACTCCACACTAGCATTCTATTTTTTCAGCATTGCTTGGCAGTAAAATGAGATAAACGGCAGCCATGTGTTCATTTCCTGCACATATTTTTAGTCAGTCTTGGGCAGTTTCCAAACTGAATATAAACCACGATTGCTGCTTGCTCGGGGGGTGGGGGTGGGGGGGGTGGGGGGGTATACAGGTGTATCCTGTTGCAGAAAAGACAAACAACATGTTTTGCTTATCAGCGTTTCAGTTCTTCTCTTGAATATTGAGGAAAAACGGTTTTCATCCGTCCACTTTCATCTGCTGATCGGGGGTCGGGTCGCAGGGGCAGCAGCCTAAGCAGAGCGGCCCAGACACTTAGACCAGCTCCTCAGGGAGAATCCCGAGTCGCTCCCAGGTCAGCCGAGAAACATAGTCCCTCCAGCGTGTCCTGGCTCTTCCTTTGGGTCTCCTCCCTGTTGGATGTGCCCAGAAAACCTCCAGAAGGCATCCTAACCAGACGCCTGAACCGCCTCAACAGGCTGCTTTTGATGTGGAGCTTCACCTTCCGACTCAGCTCTCTCTTCACCACGACAGCCCAGTACAACGCCTGCATCGCTGCAGATGCAGCACCAATCCGCCTGTCGATCTCGCACTCCATCTCTCCCTGACTCAAGAACAAGACCCCAAGATACTTAAAAACAGCTTTAAGTTTATGAATTAGCTTTTTTTGTGTTTCTCTGTTGACCTGCTTAGAGTCCAGCTGATGTGTTTGTTGAAGCATGTGGCAGCAAGGATTTGAAGAGGGTTGGAAGGAGATGCAGATGATGGGGAAATATGATGGGCGATCGCAAAAAGCTATCTCAAGGACAGTGAGCCAAAATCGGATTCCCCTCAGAGGTTTTCCCGCTCCCCGCCCTGGTTCTCTAAATATTTATAGTCCTGGAGCTAAGTGCCAGACATGGTGTGCAGCAGTTCAGGCGGCCTGTGTTGGATGACTGGGCAGCACCAGGAGGACGCTCTCACAGACACAGAGACCCAGGCTGAAATTATTAGCATTTAGGGCAGATTTTGAGCACTCAAATAGGGAGCCTAAGTCACGCCCATCTACTTCTGGACCACGGGTCCCCGGAAGAACAAAAAACTGAATGCAAGCTAACGGGGCTTAAAACGCTATTTTCTAATTCCGCTTCTTTTTTACCATGGATTTCACATATGATGTCCGGGAATTGTAAAGACGCATTTTGATACCAAAAACGCGCATATTTTGGAACGGGGGAATGATATTTTAGGTTTTGTGTGAAAATAAGTCCAGGACTACAAATGCGCTTCACGAAAGTCACGTCATCGAACCAGACATGGAGAAAACTGAGGGAAAATGGCTGTAAGTTCAGCAAACTTCCCACAGGAGGAAAGATCCACCATAAATCTGGTCATTTGGTAAGTAGCAGCTTCGTTAGGGAAGAGGAGATGATGTGGTGATGTCACATATGCGACGTGCCGATTTCTGGTGTGTAGTCGTGCTAATTACAAACTTTTACAAGCTGATAAATCTCAAAGTACGTGACTGGCGTGGTCGAAACATCCATCATTACTTTTGATTTAAATTGCAGTACAACACGTGCGAACCAGGGTCTTAGGCAAAGCGGGTTAGAAAATAGCGTTTTTAGTCCTGTTGACTTGCATTCAATTTTTTGTTCTTCCCATGAGCTGACCGGAAAGGGTGGAGACTTAGGATCCCTATGTATCCAGAACCACGAGGAGCAGCGGCCCGGGTCGGAAGCAGAGAACCAGGCATGAATTGCTGTCAGGATTTGTCTTCAAATGTACAGCTGCTAGCTTAGCTTATCTAGCGGCTAACTGAAGAAGAACAGGGCCTCCGTGTGAACGCGCATACATCATGACATGCGCTCTCACAAGGTGCTACCCCTTCAAAATTAATGGAACTGCTACCTCTAAATGCAATTGTTGCTAAAACAACTAAATTCAGTCGTATGGTCGGGAGACGAAAAAACCGGATACAGCTTTTAAAGAATGTTTAATTTTAACAAAAATATTAAGCCCCAGTCTTCTAAATTCAAGCTTTTATACAGACATCATTTTGTAAACAGGGTGCACATAACTGGTACGCAGGTATGCATGCCTGACTCAAATAACGTATGTGTACTATTTTCCTCATGTCGATGTTCCCGTTGCTTTTTCTGCATTAATGTGTTTCCCACGCCGCTCTGCACCACCCCAGCAGTAAAAGTGCACACGCTCATCACAAACTCTCTGTATCACAGAGGAACGCCAGTCAACGTGAACACCCAGACATCATACGTGGACCTCGGTTTTAAAGTTAGATGCACTGCTTTGCATCACAGTGATATTTCAGCAAAAACGCCATAAACTTCCTGTTTCAGCCACCCGTGATGTTTGCACCTGTGAATAACCACAGAATTCCATAAAAATATCCATTTTAAATCAACAGCAGTAAAAAAAGGTTTATAGGATAATGTTGCATGAGTAGAGAAATAAAATTATTCTTTTTTTCCTAATAAAGGTAAAGTCAGAGAGTGACTTTTTTTTTACAACCAACAATGCCAATGAAAAATAATAAAACAATCTCGACTTGCTATTAAAGCTACATGTTTTACTGGGACAAATAAACAACATATGATTTAAAATGCTTTTAAATTTGATTCTAGGTTTTTATTTCCATAAAAACATCCTAATCAGCTTTACCCATAAACCTTAGAAAGGCTCCAATCTGCTCCTGTCACACCTGCACAACGTAAAGACGGATTTAAATCCTAAATACCAAAGAACAGATCTACATTTCAGCCTAAACCGGTTCCTGGAATGGCCAGTATGCCATTTATGCATGACAATACCACACTGCGTTGAATGGTCTTAGCTTTTGGGCTTCTAGAAATCATCACTTCCATGAAAGTTCTTTAGGAATCTTGTTTCAGAGGAATTCAAAAGCCTTTCCATCAGCTCCACTTTGACTTGACACCTATTCTTTTCTCACTCACTGGTCTACTTCTCTTATTTTGAAGCACAAATCACAGAATATGCTGTCATAAGGTACAAAAAATGGATAGAAATGCGACAAGGCATCAGAAGTTTGAAAGGTCATATGCCTTCAGAAAGTCTGGAGAACTTCTAAGCAGGCGACTTAGTTACATAAAAGGTAACATTGCCAAATCCTTAGGAGTATTACATAGAGTCAAGTTTTTACTGACTAATTCTGGTTTGTTGGCAATGTACAATTCACTGATTGTTCCATACTTGACTTATTGTGTAGAAATCTGGGGAGCAACATACAAAAACTAAACACAACCCTTATTTATTTTACAGAGAAGAGCTCTGAGAATCACCAATTATAGTGGCTGTAGAGATCCATCAAACCCATTGTTTATTAAATATAAATTACGGAAATTTCATGATTTAAAAGACTGGAAAATCTTACAAACCATGTATAAAGCCAATTTTGGTACTCTGCCAACAAACAATCAGGGGATATTTGAAAAGAGATCTAGTAATTACATGCTGAAAGAAACTGATGTGCTTACAAAACCTAGATTTAGAACTAAAATTAAGGAGTGGAATATATCTGTACATGGTGTTAAATTATGGAATAACCTTAAAAGGGAAATTAAAAAACTCTGTCATTTAATATATTCAAAAAATGTACCAAATTGAGTGTACTAAATAATTATGAAAATGTAAATTTAATCAATGATCATGATCGCACTGGAATTAAGAACAGGAAAAAGTTTAAAATGAATCTGTATGTGTGTCTGTCAAATGGAAATTGTAGATAAATTGATTATGTCTTCTGGAAAAGGGGGCAGAAATTATAAGATGTTTTTCTTCATTCTGCTCCTTTTCATTCAATTTTGATTTTTTGTTATGTGTTTTTTATTGTTTATATGTTTTATTTGTTTTTATTTTGAATGAAATAAAAAAGAGAAGAAAAAAAAAGAAAATACACTTTTTAAAAGAAAAGGCTTTCTGGAATTATTATTGCACAAATTGCATTATTTAGCACAATTTTAATTCTCTCTCAGCTAAAGCGAAACAAACACTGATATTACGAGTTTTTTACTTGGCCAGTCCCGTGTAACCTCGATGAACCCTGCCTTGCAGAAAATGTAGCTCCACTCTACTACTCCACAAGACTCCATTGATTTGAATTTTGTTCAAACCAACACAACTTAAGTTTGCAATTTAGAAACGTCACTGATGAACTGCAGGTCCCAGGTGAAAACACTGACCACTTTCATGGACTTGTTAGAAAGGCTGGGAACTGGAATTTACCGAGGAAGCTGTTTGAGTTGACCTTCAGGAGTGAGTTAGCCTGCTGAAATTCATGCAGCCACTGCAGACAACAATGATTACTGTTGCTGCTCGTGGCAGCGGATTCAGCCAAGCAGTCAATAAAGACCGCACACACAGACAGCTCCTCTATAACCACATATAGCATAGAGGGATTCAGGAAACTACTTTGTGGGAAAGTGGGAGCATTTTAATAGCAGAATGAAAAAATACAATTTTAATTTTCTGTTTTTGTAACTTAGTTAATCTTTTTAGTAAAATACAAATAATAAAAAGGGGAAAAAAGGAATTCCACATTCATTTTTTAATAGATATACTAGTGCACAATTTCCAGGAA